TTTTTCCCGAAATATCTAAACAGAATGTCTAAATATGTTTTGATGACATATTTTAAAGTGGTATTTATGATTAGTGTCATGATCAATAGATTCCGACCGAAAAATGGATTTTTCGGATGAGGGCTCCATAATGAATTTAAATACATATAGATAATAGTTTTAGGACATCGACTTTCTTGAGATCCTATAAAATACGTTTTAATTATTATTTTTGTATGTTTTAAGCATGATAAATTATGAAATTTTATATAATCAATCATATTAAATCGATATCAAAGTCAATAAATAATGTACAACCCAAAACAGACGGCCGAACTGACGTGACAATGACATTTGGCGCGCTAAACATGGCGGATTTTCGGCCTCATTAGACGGAGACGGAGATATTTACGTATATTCATGTTTCATTTTATGTACGCACTGAAATACTGTTATATTGTTTTCCTGCGAGTTAAAGTGCTGAGTAAGAACGAGATAGATATATGTTTATGTATGTGCCTTCAAAATGGGTGCTATTTATATAAGCAATTGTACGTATAGAACAATATGTCGTGTCCCTACTATATAGGTCTATGGCTCATCTAGATGAATAAAATTAGATTTTACTATAATTACAATATTCAGTCTCACGCATAATATTGTTATCCCTAATGATCCATATATCCTTCATTTACATAGCAATAATATAAAAAAAAATCGAAAGTATGTAATTATGTATTAATGAATCAACAATTTCCAGTCGCCACATCGCGATTGATTTTTTAGATTTTTTTGCACAAATAGTGACATATTTTACTTGCAACATAAAACTGCTAGGAATAGCGCTTTAAACGCACAAGCAGAATACCCAGATGACAATTTCAATGGTTTATTGTACCTAAGCAATATATTTTTGGCCTCCAGCTATAAAATCTTAAAAAACATGCATTTTAATATATTTATTTATTGACTAAATGTTGTAATGTAAGCCAGGTATGCTATCTGTAAATAAAGTCAATATCTATTGTCGAACGTTATTAATATACCTACAGGTCAATAATAATTTTACTACCATCTATTAGGGGTTAAAGTTTTAAATTGCTGATTTGTGGTGAAAAATTGAAATTCGTTTTTTTTCATTTAACATATTTATTTAATCAAAATATCTACCATTATTATCTATACATTGGTGCCATCTAATAGGATGGTCATTTATAACTTTGCGATAGAACTCTGGTGATCTAGATTCTATAAACTGTGTGAAAGCATTTTGTACTGCCTCCTGGGAAGAAGCTCTTTATCATGTAGAAAATTGTCCAAATCACAAAAAAATGGTAGTCCGTTGGAGCAAGGTCTGGTCTGGCAAATACGTGACGATTAGTTTCTAATTGCAGTTGCAGTTGCAGTCTTGAAGTCGTCGTGGCCTAAAGGATAAGACGTCCAATGCATTCGTATTTAGCGATGCAACGGTGTTCGAATCCTGCAGGCGGACACCAATTTTTCTTATAAAATAACTAAAGTAGGTACTTAACAAATGATTACGATTGACTTCCACAGTGAAGGAATAACATCGTGTAATAAAAATGAAACCCACAAAATTATAATTTGCGTAATTAACTAATTACTTGTGGTAGGACCTATTGTGGGTCCGCACAGGTAGGTACCACCACCCTGCCTATTTCTGCCGTGAAGCAGTAATGTGTTTCGTTTAAAGGGTGAGGCAGCCGTTGTAACTCTACTGAGACCTTAGAACTTATATCACAAGGTGGGTGGCGCATTTACGTTGTAGATGTATATGGGCTCCAGTAACCACTTAACACCAGGTGGGCTGTGAGCTCGTCCACGCATCTAAGCAATAAAAAAATAATAAAAAAAATCCTGTAGAGTTAAAACGGTGTCTCGTGCTGTATGAGGTCTCGCGTTATCATGGAGCAATAATGGTAAACATCGATTCATGAGTCGGGGCTGTTTTACTGCAAGTTTTACTATCATTGTTCGAAGTTCGGCACAGTAGACATCTGCCGTTATTGCTTGAAAAGATTGGAGAAAGCTATAGTGAATAACATCATGATGGGACCACCAAACAGTTACCATTACTTTTTTATTGGCTTTGCTTTAACATAATGTTGCGGCGTTTGACCTGGGGTCAGCCATTGCATTTTTCTCTTACGGTTATCGTAAAGAATGCACTTTTCATCACATTATTCGATCCAATATTCCTTCATTTCTGTATCGATTCAACAAGGCAACACAAGTTTCAACACGCGTTTCCTTCTGCAGATATCAAATCATGAGGCACCCATTTTTCATTAAAAAAATTACCAGATTTTCGTTTTTTTTCTTTCTTTTTGCGGCTTTTTTTTTTGAAATATATCTTCTAAGGTCTCAAGTAAAGTTACAATGGCTGCCCCACCCTTCAAACCGAAACGCATTACTGCTTCACGGCAGAAATAGGCAGGGCGGAGGTACCTACGTGCGCGGACTCACTATAGGTTCTACCACCTTAATAACTTTTATTGAGATTATATTTCATCCCATATCATCTCATCTCATTTCATCCCAGTTGATTAATATCTCAAATTAATCATCTTCATTTCATTTCATTTCACTCCATATTATCATTTTTCATAAAAATAAGAATATACCTAAATTAAAATAAAACATGACCTAAAGGTCTGCTAAAAAATACTTACCAGGTCATAAAATCCCTTAAAAAAACGTTAAACAATGCCGTTAATCCCTCCGGGGGGGCCGGAGAAGGGACTACGCTCGCACACCCCGGCCCCTGTAGGTGGCGGTTTCCCCCCGGTGAAGGTCACGGAGCGACCTGAGGGAGTAGAGGCCGCGCGGCGCGCTACCAGCACTCTAGCACGCCGCTAAGAAGTATCAATAATAGAGCAACCGGTTGGCGGTGTATCGCGTCCCGACCGGACAGGCTGGTTCTGGTCCAGCGGGGTATTCCGGACACCAGCGGCACCGTCTGGGCGGCCTGACGGGCTGCCGTACCGAGACGGCCGACGTTTCAGAGCCTTCGATTCGCCAAGGCTCCGTCAGCCGTGCGTCCTTGGGGTGAGCTGCGCCGTCTGGTTGTAGTATTGACCGCGGCAACCCCCTTACCTCATCCGAGTTCTGACCTCAGAGGGGATCGGACGCTTGGGCGAAGAGTGCAGGGGAGTCGTTTAGTGGCTATGGCCCTGAAAACTTCCTTGGGCCCGCGGTATCGCAGTCGCGGATCAGTCCCACATATCCCCGCGTAGGAGGTTCGGCCGCTAGGCCGAAAATTTTTAATAAAAATCCGCTAACACCTGGGTAATTAGGCTCGGATCGGCTTCCACCATCTCTTCCAATTCATTGTTGTTCACATGTGTGGGCGGTCTTCCACGTGGTTCGTTCTTCAAATCAAAATTTCTATCACGAAAGCGCTTAAAACAAAATCGCACGGTGCATCCCCTCTCTCTCCAAGTGCAACATTGATACTGCGTGCTGTTTCTGCAGCGTTAGTTCTGCGTTGGAACTCGTATTAAAAAATCACTCGAATTTTCGAAGTATCCTTCTTTCGTGTCTAAACTGAATAAAAAAACAACTGAAAGTCAATAATCGAAAGTTGCACATTTTTTAAAAGAAAAACCTCATAGGTACCATTTGAAAAAGTTTCACTCAAAAATCTCAAGCCATGAAGGTTCTATGTCAATTCGAAGTACCTACCTATTACAATAAAACGGCAATTTCATACCTTAAGTACTTTAACTCATAATATTAATACGAAGATTATGGATCTACGACTAGACATTCTTACTAGGTAGTAGTTTATTCACCGATTTTCGTAACTAACTTGTTCATTTATTGTTGGAACAATGTGGAAGGAAGCTCATTCTAATTTTAAATGAACTCGACAATTCCAAGGGTTCCAAATATTTAGTAGAAATGAACTCTGCCTCGGTAACTGATGATGCGATGGTAAAATAATAATTATGATGGTAATTAAATCATCTTAAACAGATCGTCAAAGAAAACTTTATGGAGCATATAGTAGGAAACATCGAGTTGCTCAATAATTGCTCATACAATTTTCTAATTAGTGATGTTCATGGAAAATTAGTATTAATATAAAAACTAACTTGTACGCGGTAGATATATGTATCATAGTGTTATTTGTGTACATACTTTCATAGAGCTTCATATAACACTTTTTTAACCTGAGGAAACACAAAAGATAATTCGCACATCTTGAAATCTCGCGTACGCGTCAAAAAGTCCACAATCATAGAAAATGGTTGCTATCATCAAAGAGTCAAATAAAATAAGGGAATGTATCATTGTTTTTTCAAATAGTCTGATAAAGTGATACCATTAAATTATAGAGCAAAATTAAAACGTCGGATTTTTTGGGGGAAGCGAGGAACGAAGTCATTGAAATGTTTTAATATGATATTTTAGTGTTTCTAGTGTAGACGTGTAATGATGGTAGCCCATTAATCTTTTAGTATACAAAGTTACGGAACGTCGTCGCTTCTATGACACTTCCGAAAAATCCACTGAAATCTTGATAGTTTTTACCACTTTACTAGGACATTTCTTCGTTTATTTTCTCCCGTTTCATTACGTTCATTACATTAAAATAATTAATTTCTTTAGAAATAAATAAATGAGGCACCATCAATATTAATTTTGCAAGAAACTGCTTGCCATACTAAAAAACCAAGAAGTCAACTCAATTTCAGTCTCATAAATATTAAGTGTATCATCTATGTTTCAGTCATAGATAATACATAAAGTTTCATTTCACAATTGAAGTTTTGACAATTTTGACATGTTACTGAAATGTACACTCCTAAGTGCCTTGGACGAAATGTAATTATTTGCCCGATAAAAACAGTTGTTATTACAACAAGGTTAAATGTATAATGAACACATACCAACGACCAGTTATGATTTCACCATATAAAAAGAAGAACGTGCGTCGTTGTTATTGTTTATAATATAATTTCGCTTTCAGTTTTATTTAATAACAATTATTTTAGGTACTAATGAAGAATCCGCAGAGATGACCGTGCTAAGTCAAATAATAGAGCCCGATGATATGATAAAAATTACATCAGAGTTTGCAAGACTGGGAGGTAAATGAGCTGTTAATCATTTCTTTAATATACATGGTAGTATTTTATAGTAAGTCTATGTTTGTATGTTTATTGCAATTTACAGTATAATTAGTTCTAATCTAATACTCCTGATTTTAGTGTTAAATCAATTAAAAATTTCACAATCAAACAACTTTCTCTACAATTAACTTCTTGGAATCCAGTGAAAGTTGTTTAATGCTTAACTTTATGATTTTGTAACTGAAATGAAGCATTTTATATTACTAACTATGTTGATGTTCTATAGAAGAATCTAGCAGGCGTCAATAGAATTATTGCCAAAAAATTATACAGTAACGAAAAATGAAATACATGTTTTTTTTAATGGAAATGTTATTGTAGTATTTGAACTTGACAAATCCTAAAAATGTAGTCTAGTGGCCACTCGCTCTGGCAGGACTATTTATTTTCACTTATCTGCGTTATTAAATTTTCAATTAGTTTTTTACTGACTATCTTGACCCCCAGTATTAACAGTATTAAAGCAGAAAAACAACCTGGTCATCTTTTTTTATTTCTCTAACTATGTGAAGAAATTTTCCTGTGATAGTGATTGAACACTTCACAATATGAATTACATCACTTACCTTATAACTGGACATTAAAGCTTCAATCATTGTGTACAACAGCTATTTGAGCCATATAATCAAAACAAATTGACTGCTTCAGAGAATAAAAAGCAAGGGTGTGTTCAGTCGTAGTAATAACTGGGAAGAGGTGGTGTCTCATGTATCTGTGATTAACATCTGGAGAATGCATGAAAACGGCTACCCTTAAAATAATTGTTTGTTGAAATATTTTGTTCTGGCCCAATGAATACAATGAAAAACTCTCAGTGTAGCTGGCTATCTAACATGAATCACAGCACCAGCCCGAACATGTTTGTTATACAGATTAAAAAGAAAATTAAAAATAATGGCTAAAATATCAAAATATATGTATATATGCAATTCAAATAAGAACATTTTAAATAACAAAATTAAAAGTAAGGTAATTTGTGAACCAGATGTTTAAATATTGATTCCTTTTATTTCCGCTTTCACAGACAGATGTTATTTGGACAATGCCGGTGCTACTTTATACCCAAAAAGTTTGATTACGTCCATAAATGAAGACTTATTAAAAAATGTTTATATGAATCCTCATACAGATAAAAATACAAAAAATTACATAGAACAAATTAGATGTCTCATACTAAAACATTTCAATACAGATCCTTCAACATATACGTTGATTTTCACATCTGGAACCACTCAAGCCTTGAAATTAGTTATTGAATCATTTCAATTTATGAAGAATGAAGATGATGATTTAAATTGTGGTTCCTTTGTTTACCTAGAAGACAATCACACATCTGTTGTTGGTTTAAGAGAACTTGCAGTAGACAAAGATGCAGAAGTAGTCCACATAGCCCATGAAGATTTCTTAAATGTGATAAACACGAAAGCCAAACAAACAAGCAAATACACAAATGGTGGTAACAGTCTTGTTGCTTATCCTGCTCAGAGTAATTTCAATGGTTTTAAATACCCTTTAAACTGCATAGAGAATATAAAAAATGGATGTCTGAACAATCACTTGAAAAAGCATTTATGTGAGATAAACAGTGACTGGTACGTTCTGTTAGATGCTGCTGCATATGTTGCTACCAGTAAATTGGATCTCGCAAAAGTGCAACCAGATTTTGTATCTTTATCGTTTTATAAGATTTTTGGTTTCCCAACTGGATTGGGAGCTTTATTAGTTAAGAAATCTAGTGAGAATGTTTTAAGCCAAAAAAGGTATTTTGGTGGAGGCACTGTTGATGCATTATTGAGTAATGAGCACTATCATATCAAAAGGGAAATCTTTCATGAAAGGTATATTATTATCTTATTTTATGCAACACCCAAATAACTTCAATTTTCTGTATAAATAATTTAATTACATTTCTTTCAGATTTGAAGATGGATCTCTATCTTTCTTATCCATAATTTCTTTAAAACAATGTCTGGATACAATGTACAGAATCATACCAAGAATAATACATGACGATATTATGGAAACAATATCTTACCATACGTTTTATTTAGCAAAAGATTTGTATTGTCAGCTATTAGATTTGCGACATCGAAACGGCACAAAGGCTATCAAATTCTATTTAGATTCAGATTTTAGTGACATTACAAAGCAAGGGGGTGTTTTAACTTTTAATCTGGTGAGAGAAGATGGAACTTACATTGGTTTTTCCGAGGTGAGATTAGTTAATTTTGGAGAAATAAAAAAAAGATAACAATACTACTCAACAGTTTTTTTAAATAACATATAACTTTCAGTTCCAACACATGGCAGACTTATTTAACATAAGTGTCAGAACAGGATGTTTTTGTAATTCTGGATCATGTCAAAGACATTTGCACATGTCAAACAAGGATATGAAAGATATGTATAATGCTGGTCACAGATGTGGAGATGAAGTAGATTTAATTAACGAAAAGCCCACAGGTGCTATAAGAATATCATTTGGATACTACAATACCTTTGAAGATGTTGACAAATTCGTTAATATGATATGCCGATGTTTTGTTAATGCAAAGGCAAGAAAACAAAAGCGTATCATAAATCATTTTGTAGAAACACCAAAGATTAAACATTATAATGGCAATGTTAATAAAATAATTAATGAACAAATTTACTTTAAAAATGTTGATGATGTACTGATAAACATTCCACCAATGAGTACTAAAATAATATTAAAGGAAATATGTATATTTCCAATTAAATCATGTGGAGCGTTCAAAATTTTGTCAGGTTGGAACATAGGTCCAAAAGGTTTTGAATACGACCGAGAATGGATGATAGTTAAAGACAATGGAGTGTGTCTCACACAGAAACAGAATACACGTATGTGCATGATTCGCCCACAAATCGATCTCAAACAAAAAGTAATGATATTAAATTTCCCAGGTAACTTACTATTCATTATTTTTTGTATTGCTTCACTCATCTGGTTTAATTCAGTTTGAGTACAGGAGTTTGTTGCTTAATGCTTTTTTGGCAATAAATACTTTAATATACTTTCCTACAAATTTGTAGCTATTGCATGAATAAGACCTGTGTGACATTCAGTATGCAATAACTGTTCATAATTTAACTAGATAATAGTGTCTTAGTATAACCAAACTGTTGTAAATATGTATTTTCTGATTAATACCAGTGAATATTATATGTGATGCTATTACATATTCCTTATCCTTAACAGGTAAAACTCCGATATCCATACCCTTGGAAAATTCTATAAACGAGGTACAGAAAAATGGATCACTCTGTCATAGTAAAGTCTGTACAGATATGATTAAGGGCATTGATTGTGGTGATGAAGTTGCAGACTGGATATCTGAAGCTCTTGAAGTGTCATTCCTTCGTTTAATACGACAATCTAGCAACGACAACAGATCTCTAAAGAAGAAGAAAGATGAAGATAAAAAATTATTGTCGCTTAGCAATCAGGCTCAATATCTTCTAATTAATAAAGCAACAGTTAAATGGCTTAGTGAAAAGATCAAAGATCCTCTCTTTACTGATGATTTAAATCATTTAACAGACCGATTTAGAGGGAATCTCATTATAGAAATGGAACAAGAATTGTTGGAACGTGAATGGCACAGTGTTATAATTGGAAATCACGAGTTTAAGGTTTTAATTTCATAAATTGTTAAAATTCTGTAAAAAAAAAAAACAATAAGAAACACTTTGGTCAATGAGAATTTATCTCTCTTACTTTTAGATTACCAATTTTTCTATTACCTATTTTTAGAGTAAATCAGCAATGTTTTTTTATAAAGCTACATCCGAAAACAATTAATATAATTGCTCACGGCAAAAATTGGGAACTTAAAGATAAATTTATTAAAATCATGAACTTGCAGGCTCAGAAGTCGCCCGATCCCCATTAAAGCAGGATTAATTATAAAACGTGTAATCTGTCAGTGTTTCTGAGAAAAAAAATGCATATGTTCCAGGTGGAAGGGCAGTGCCCCAGGTGTCAAATGGTATGCATAGATCAACAAACTGGCGAGAAAACTGTAGAGCCCCTTAGGACAATAGCAGAACAATTTGGAGGGAAACTTCGATTTGGTATTTACTTGAGTTATGTTGGCACAGTGAATAAATCTGACGACAGAACTTTGAAAACTTATTCTCCAATTAAAGCAATACTAAATGATGACAACATCAGTAGATGAAATGAAAACTGAAGTTGATGAAACCATAATTAATATTAGATTTATTCCAATCATTCCATTTTCTAAACGCGTCCCAGAGACAATTACTGAGTAAATTGGGCGAAACGGGAGGTATGATGTGATAATGCAAACATAATTTGCTCGTTTGAATGAAAAAACGAATTGACTTATTTTAGTAACTGCAAACTTCCTCTAATCCAGGGGTTCCCAGCGTTTTTTTCTGCTCTTATTGCTCCTCTTAACAATCGGCCATGATGGGCGATTATAGAAACTCATGATAGTGTAGAAGGTATAAATGTCTGTAATCGGCCATCATCGCGTATGGTCGTGCACAATCGGCGTTGTGTCGGTAGATCAAAGGAATGATGGCCCATGATTGTGTGAGCGTCCACACCATTGCCGATTAGTCAGGATGTAGTTGTCTCGAGTGTGTGTCAATTGTGTCGACTACAAAACTATGGTTGCGTGGACCTTGTTTTGTTCCGATTGATAGCCACCACCCACCACCTTCCTCCATCTTGTTTATTGTTATCGGTAGGCAGCAGCTTGGCTCTGCTCCTAGCATTGCTGAAGTCCATGGGCGACGTAACCACTCACCATCAGGTGGGCCGGCCGTATGCTCGTCTGTCTACAAGGGCAATAAAAAAAAAGAATTTCCCGATTCTTTTTTCGCGCACATTAACTAAATGACTATATGAGTTAACTAAAAATATTTTCGCAGCCGCGATCTCCTCGATTTCCATCGTCGATACCTAGACGTCTTAACAAAACAGTAGACAGTACTAGACAGTCAGTAAATGAACGTTCACGATTGTGTGGAGAGCTGCCCGATCATGGCGGCAATCATGGACGATCATTTGTTGGCCTATCATGGACGATCATTTGTTGGCCTATCATGGCCGATTGTGAAGTGGAGCCTATAGACCACTTTCAAAATTTAACTGATTCTGGTTGACAACTTCCATGCTAAATTTCTACCATATTCCCAAAACTTGACAAAAAATTGACGCGTAAATCTAACTATGGAAATTTGCGTTGCAGCTAAATTTGGACGACGAATTAAAATAGGGGGAGAATTGATTTTTTATTATTAATTAATTGATTGCGCTGCGAGTGGATGTCAAAAAAGTTAAGTTGGCCAAAAAAAGTAAACGAGGAACCAATCAGTTCTCACTTATTTCACTTATAAAACCACGGTAATATAAATTCACGTGGACACCTGGTGGGAACTAAGGCTCTAATCAAAAGCTAAAGTCATCTTAACCAATTGATTTTACATATATTTCATAGATAAAATATTGGATATAGCGTGAGAATTACTTAAATATTAGTGGTTTTAAGCTCATTTTGAATAAATCTGGGAATGTTGAAATTAAACTATTTCTCAATTCATAAAATTAGTTACGTTACTTTTTAAATCATCTCTGAAATCGCACTATCAATGAATGCAAAGATTGAGGAAGTAGTTTGCTGCCTGCATGCACTCCACATGCAGTGATCTAAAACCTGCACAAGGCTAGGGTTATTAGCTCTTTAGAAGATTGTGTATGAGCTCTTCAAGTTTGCAAACAATATTGCTAACTGCACACCAATTGTTCTATTTCTGGAATCATCTCATTTAAGTTGGCTTTTATGACTTTCATTAAAAAAATGTAATCTGTAAAGGACATGGGCCATTTTCGGCCCAGCTACTCGTGCTCTCAAGGACATTAATGAAATATCTATAGAAAACATTTCATTTTTACATACTTATTATAAAACTTAAGGGTATTTTAATGGTGGGATAATTAAAATCATAAATAAAAAGAAATTAGCATGACTTACTTAGCTACATTGATAATATTGAAGGAGAAAAAACTAACAAAATATACTGACATATTTATTAATGTATTTTAAAATTAATATCAAATATGTATTATATCTAAATAAAAATCTAGTTTTATACTTTTAAATCCGTAGAATAAATTATTACATGGATGAATAATTATGGTTCTTAAGCAAAAAAAAATATTGATGTTTATTGACGTTTTACATTTGATCACCCCTTTTCGCACTCGTGCGCATTGTGGATATTATTGTTTCGTTGCGATATACCTGCTTATTATATTTTGTTGTAATATAAAGTTAATATATATAATATTTAAGCTGATGATCACGTTAAAGTGTCAGTGTATTGACAGCACTTTTTACTGGTGGTAGGACCTCTTGTGAGTCCGCACGGGTAGGTACCACCGCTCCGCCTATTTCTGCCGTGAAGCAGTAATGCGTTTCGGTTTGAAGGGTGGGGCNAAAAAAAAAAAAAAAAAAAAAAAATCATATGATATTAACCTAAAATTCTTATCTTATTTTTTTTATATCACTGTATCCCCATGAACAATACTGATTTTAATTTGTTTATAATAAAAGGGATATATAGCTGGTATTTAAACTTAATTTCATTACTGTCCTTGAACTTCGTTTAGTCAGCCGTGCAATGTATGGAGAGTAGCCCATTTCCTTTGAAAGAAAGCAATTGAAATTGATTAATTATTTAAATTAAATGGCTAAAAATATAGTCAAACTCTTGTTTCCAGAAATATATTACAGCTCTTTTAAAACGCATGATTCTCAATGTTCAGAAGGTTTTTTTTTTATAATTATTGTTTTTGTAAGCTTTTTAAATGATACAACTGTTGTATCTCCAATTCTTTTATTTATGTATTTAAGTTTTGTTGTGAATATATTTTAATATAATAAAAGGTGAGAAGTTGGTAATCCTGGGCAAATAGTTTTTTGTTTTTCTTATGCTTGCTGCACCTCCGAGTTTTATTTTCAAGAACTGGGCGTCTTGGGCGTTACGTGGTAGGAGCTAGAACAAACTGCCTAAGACCTATGTAAATAGCAAGATTTGATCCCAGCCCTACACCCCAGCAGAGGGTTATAGGAAATAATAAAGAAGTTTTATTTATATATTGTCTAAAGATGAATCTATGGGTGACAATAGAGATAACGTCAATAACAATAGAATCATTGAAATTATAGTTTGCATTTAATTATTATAATATTAGATCCTTACATATGAAATTAGCGTTTTGTTGTACTGACCACTTTGGTTAAAAATTTCAAATTCCATTTGGCTGGTAGGTACATTTGAGTTTTGAAAACAGTAATTCATTTGTTTTTCCTCACAATTTTTGCAACGGGAAAAAACGTCCGTAACGTAAGATTTTTATTAGTAATGCACACAGTGTACGACTTAACTTTGTAATAACGTACAAAAAATTACATTTTTTTATCACTCATTGACCTAGATCTCAGAGCGTTCGTTTGCGCAATAAACTAACTCTTATGCAAACAACCTTGATGAAGTGTACCACAATAAGTTCGCACGTTACCGAATGACCGTGGGTTGTTGCGAAACCTCCAGTTTTATTTTCTTTATATCTCGAATAGAACATAAAATTAATATTTTTATAATACTTCGTTCCCATACAGTGTCCCACGACACCACACATCTTTTTTTTCTTAGGCGTCGCTTATTACCGCACACTGGAAAACATGAAATATCGGTATATTTACGAGTACAAGTTCTACCGTGGCACCAGTGCGCAGAAACAGCTCGAAGGATTAATGATGTGTACGGCGCTGGTGTCGCAAAAGAAAGCACGGTAAGTTTTGGGTTTCAACGTTTTCAGTCTGGAAATTTCGACCTTCAGAACCAATCCCGTAGACGGCCGGAGCCTTAGTGGAATATGAAGAATTAAAGGCTATTGTCGAATCGGATCCATGGCAAAGCTCTTCAGAGATAGTTGCCGGCTTTGCGGTAAGTGATAAAACTGTATTAATCCACTTAACGCAAATGGCGAAAGTAAAAAAACTTAGACAATGGGTACCCCTTGACTTGAGTGAATCGAACTTGCAAACACGCGTCGACTGCTGTGTTACTTTGCTCAACCGACACAATAATGAAGGGATTTTAAACCGTATCATTACTTGTAATGAAAAGTGGAAAAGCACTCGTTGCAATGGCTGAAGCCTGGAGACCCAGCCAAATCCTGGCCTAAACGAAAATTGACTGCGAAAAAGTTACTTGTGTTTGGTCCACCGCTAGTGGACTAGCGCCAGTGTCGTTTATTACAGCTTTCTAAAATCTGACCAAATGATTACAGCAGATATCAATTGTCAGCAACTGCAAACCATGAAGAAAGAACTAGCTGCTAAGCAACTGAGATTGGTCAATCGCTCTAAGCCACTGCTGCTTCACGACAATGCAAGATCACACACTGCACAACAAATAAACAACCACTAAATTAGATAAGCCACAATTGGAATGTCTGCGATATCCACCATGCTCCCCAGGCTTTGATTCAACAGATTACCACTTTTTCTGGAATTGGACAACTTCATACAAGGAAAAAATTGAACTCAGATTGATTCTCGCCCACATGGCTTTTTTCCAGTAAAGGGATCAATGAACTACATATGAGATGGCAAAAGTGCATAGATAACAACAATGCATACTTTAATTAATTAAATACATTTTACAAAAAAAAAAAAGAATTTATATTCCTCCTGTACAAAACACCTTTCATATGTAAGGACCTAATATTATCAACCTACATACTAACATCAACAATTGCATAATTGAGTTTGTTCTGTTTTTTGATAGCCTTTCACGTCTTAACCAATTCATCACTTAGATTGAATCAATGATTAGCAATAAATAATGACATCATTTGTCCTACTTGTTATCAAAATCAATTTTCTGCAATTTTAAGTAATAAAATAATGGTTAAATCAGTCATCTGGCCTTAAAACTAGGTTTTCATATATGGAATCCAGATTAGTATACATACCCATATAAATCTGCCAAGTACTCAGGAAGCTTATGTCCAGCAGTCAATCTTATAAAGTACAAACAAACAGTGCAGTCTATTGTATCACACTTCCAAAAATCAAACATGTATTTGACCACATAACTATTTTCTATAATACTGGCTGGTTCAAGCATTAATCAAGATATAGCACAATTGATTGGTTGTTCTCCTTTGATTTCCCTTGGTTCTTGGCCTTTTGAAACATCGTGAACTACTTGAGCTACTTCTCCATAATCTGGCAGTGCCATTGTTTTGAGCTTAGAGTAAATCAACTTATCATTCACAACTACTTCAAAAGACCCTATAACAAGATAGTAACCTTATTTATTTAGAACAGACATAATTGAAAAATATTCTGGAGGATTTTTTAATTTTGTTAAAGATAAACTATAAGTATGAACTTGCCTTGACGTCCCCTTTTGCACAAAACCAAAGCAGAAGGTGTATCATTTCTAATAATTTGCGCCAGGGCTAAGCAATGACCTCCATAATCACAAGCACCACTAAAAAAAATTACATACACAGCTAACAATTAAGGATTGTTTTAAGCAAATAGATGGGTAGGTAAGTTTGGTAAAAATTGAGAGCAAGTTTGATAGCAAGTAATAAGCAAAATCCCTATCAGTCCGTATTTCAGACGGAAGTTTTTAAGTCGAACAGTAGGTACCTATAAAACTCAGTACAAAAAGAACCAAGTACCTATGTACAATTTGAAAGTAAGTTTAACCTTACCTACGGTAATTATGGACATCTACTAAGATCTATCTACAATAATTTCCCATAAATTTAGCACTTTCATAAATACATAACCTACACAATTATATTATTTTTTAAGCTTACCAGTATTCTACATGTACTTTAGGGATGAAACTTTTTTCTTCATTCCCAGTCATAATTTTAACTCATTCCTATTTCCTCTTACAACCCTTAGTTTACTATTTTAGAATCTCTCATTCATAGATAACTTAATTTAAAAGTCTCTCATCGAAATACATTTACGCACAATACATACATTTTAATTAATTTACTATTATTACATAATTAGCGCTTTTTTAAGGGATTATATGACCTGGTAACTGAGACCTTTAAGTCATGTCTTATTTTAATTTATATTCATATTTTTATGAAAAAGGATATTATGGAGTGAAATGAAATGAAGATGATTAATTTGAGACATTAATCAACTGGGATGAAATTAAATGAAATGAAATGTAGTTTTTGGGATCGTCAAGGTTTGTGTATTAGCTAGTGTCAAGTAATAAGGTTTTTAAAAATCGCCGTTTTTTATGAATACAAATAAACGAAGTAAACTGTCCATGCTGGCCATTATTAATATGTGTAAGTATGAATTAAATTAGCAGCGTGGGACGGTATAGATAAATTAGGTTGAGAAAGTAATTTGATTAATGTAGTAATCAACTCTGCAAATGATAATATGAAGTGTAATGAGATGAAGTTGATTAATATTATGAAATATGACATGAAATGTTATGAAATAAAATAAGATAGAGTTCATCCGATCTCAGTAAAATGGTGGTCATTGACTGAGACTTTCACGGTGAACTTTTTGGAGCATCCCGAGAAGCTACGTCTAGAGGGTTTGTTTCATTTTCCAACTGTTGGACGGTTAAATATTTGAGAGGACTGGGTTCTGTAGGTGATGAGGGGCTATTTAAAACATAACTGCTTCATTATAATTATATTGCAGATAGCTTGAACACTTTTACACCTTCAACTCCACTCACAAACCACATAACTCATAACAAATAACCTCGCACAACTTCAACAAACTCAACATTTGAATTCACATAACACATACAACCTTACATTATTCATACAACCTTCTATTATCTTCTATAATTTTTTCACTTTTTTTTTTGCACATATCCGTTCAATTATTTCAATATAACATTAAAACCAAAATTCCTAACATCTTTTATAACAAACACAACAATAAAACAAAACTATAAAAGAGATTCAAAAGGATTTTAGAAAACGACTGTAAGTTTGTTTGTATCAAAAATTAGTACTTTTTCCACGGCTTAGGATAACTATTGTCTTTTATATTTTTATTAATAAACAATTGTAACGCAGCGTTCCGTTTCGCGGGGCAACAGTAGCCAAAGGGATTGTGACTCAGGTCCGTGCCGCGACGACCCACCCCGCGCTACCCGCGCCCGCGCATCTATTGCATCATTCGCACTTCGCACTAGTTCGCACCCCCAATGAGTGCGCGCCAGACTGAAGCGGAATACACACGTCCCCGGTCGATACCGGAACTGACAACCCGAGAGTCTCATGCCAGTCGGGCACCTAACATTAAACAATTATATTTTATAATCACCCCCTTAATTGTTTATGTCGGTGGAAAGAGAGCACCCCCTTAACTTTTAAATTATCCTTGTCTTTTTTCAGTTATATCTATTGTTGTATAATACAACATTTAAATTCCGAAAGAACTTAATAAACTAACCCATTTATCCCGAAACACAAGTTCACTTTTTTTAAAATGAATACCCTTAAAGTCTCAAAGTTTTCCATGACCAGATTTTCATTTCTTAATGTGCTATCATTTGTTCCATTTTCATTTGTTTCTCTATTATTTCGCCTTTTAACAACTTCTCGAACTTTACGGCATTTCTACTTCATTACACTCCATTAGTATTATTTGCTCTAATATCACCTTCTCGAACTCCACTAACTCTCCATTTCTTCCTATTTCACCTTCTCAAACTTCATTACACTCTATTACTATTATTTCCTCAAATATCATCTTCTTGAACTCCATAACTCCATATCTTCCTCTAGCACCTTCTCGAACATCGTCGACTTCGTCTTTACGATTATCTTTATTTGTTACTTAAGTTAGTGTTTTCCCTTCCATTACCTTATCTCATGCTCTTATAATAATTTTCTGTTTGGTCTTCCAGTCAAATTTTATAACATTTGCTGATTAAAAAAAGCCTACATCACCATGGAAACGAAACCGTTTGTAAAAAATTTTTCTTAGCAACCATTGTGTAATGAATTTAATAAAATAAAACCATTCAAAAACATAGAAAATGTTATAAAATTTGGCTGGAAGACTAAACAGAAAATTATTATAAGATCATGAGATAAGGTAATGGAAGGGAGAACACTAACATAAGTAACAAATAAAAATAATCGTGAAGACAAAGTCGATGAAGTTCGAGACGGTGCTAGAGGAAGAAATGGAGATAATGGAGTTCGAGAAGGTGATTTCAGAGGAAATAATAGTAATGGAGGTAATGAAGTTCGAGAAGGTGAAATAGGAAGAAATGGAGAGTTAGTGGAGTTCGAGAAGGTGATATTAGAGGAATTAATAGTAATGGAGTGTAATGAAGTAGAAATGGGGTAAAGTTCGAGAAGATGTTGTTAAAAGGCAAAATAATAGAGAAACAAATGAAAATGGAACAAATGATTTCAGATTAACAAATAAAAATCTGGTGATGGAAAACTTTGAGACTTTTAGTGTGTTAATTTTAAAAAAGTGGACTTATTGTGTTTTAGGGAAAATGGGTTAGTTTATAAGTTCTATGGGACTTTCAATATATTATACAACAATAGAATATAACTAAAAACAAGGATAATTCAAAAATTAAGGGGGTGCTCTTTTTCAACAGCAATTAAGGGGGTGAGTCGAGAAGGAGTTTAAAGGTTAAAGAGTCGAAAAGGAGTTTAAGACTATAGAGGTCGAGAAGGAGTTTAGGTTAAAGAGGTCGAGAAGGAAGTTATTATAGTTAGAGGTTGAGAAGGCGTTAAAAGTTTTAAATAAACTTGAAGAGTTTATGTAGGAAGTCGAGAAGGAGTTAGACTATTATAGTTAAGGTTTTTTATAGTGAGTCAAGAGGGAAGTTAAGGTTGAATGGTTGTATGGTTGAATGAAAGTACATTTTTGATCGAATTGGAGTTGGAGAAGTAAGAAAGGATTAAAGGTAGCGACATTAAAGATAGTATTAAGTTTGAAAGGTTAAATGAATAGTTGTTGGTTGAATTGAGAGGGATTATGTGGAAGTAACGGAATGTAAGTGGTTGTGAGGTTTTTAGGTATGTATGGAAAGTAATTAATTTATGAAGGTTAGGTTAGTGTTATTCTTTTTTGGTATTAAATTATAGACAGGGAGTTAAATATGTGCAAGTGTTGAGGGGGTGTGTTGGAGTTTTAAAATAAATATAATGGCAGGCAAAACTTGACACATGATTACAGATTTCGAATATTAGAATTATTTTAAATGTTTAAAAAAAACAGATGATTGTATTCTCGTAAGAAAATGTCAGGACTTCTCATCTAGACACGGCAAGAGAAACATGTAATAGTTTTATAAAAAATATAATAGTTGTAGCAAACCGACCGGTACGTCACTCTCGCGGCCGTATGCCCGCTCGCTATACATAGTTAGCATCTATGTCGATCTTTTTAACAGTGTATAATCTATGTTCCGGGCGCTTCCGTTTTGAGTGCGAATAGCGTGCGCCCGCGTCTAAATGTAATTATTGTTTAAAATTGAAAATTGTTTGTGATAAAGGAAGATTAAAATTCGAAATTCGATATTGGTGACTAGCCCATAGTTTTAAATACCCCTGAGATCTACCCCTCACTATATAGTTTTATAAAATAGTTTTATAAAATATAATTGTATAATGGTGTAAAAGTGTTCAAGCTATCTGTAATATAATTATAATGAAGCAGTTGTGTTTTTAATAGCCCCTCATCACCTACAGAACCCAATCCCCTCAAATGTAACCGTCCAACACCAACAATTAATTTTGTGCTCTTTCACAGATACTAAACAGTAAAAAATCAACGTTATTACAAATTTATACCTGAAGAAATACTAAGTGAACAAAATAAAACAACTGAACTTTGCGTTTTCGCCAAAAAGTCTTCAGGTGCATGTGGTAGTTGATTTCAAATTTAATTAAAAGAGGTTTATAAGAATATCATCCCGCCATTTCTTCAAGAATTGCATAAGTGCCCTGCAAGTTTTAGACCAGTATATGAATACATTAACTCTACTTTCGGAGACTTATATTGGAGAACACTAATTTTGACTTTTTACTCGGATTTTTCAAGAAACACGACTGAGACAACTTTCAACCGAAACGTATTTGAAAAAAATATTATGAATAGACATTTACACGGATTTGAAAAATATAAATTTTATAAAAAATACTAAAGAATTAGTTTTTTTGCCTTGAAACATAAAATTATATATGAAAATATTAAACTTAAGAATTGGCGGTATGGCTTAGTTCCATTGCCTTTCTTTTGGAGAAAAACCCTACCACTACTGAGTACCGCAAAATGGGGCGATTAGGGACAAATTCCAACTTTATGAGCAATTTTAAGGTAGTTGTTGATGTATATAATGCTATATAAGGATCAAAATGATTGAGTCTTAGGGGCATCTTTGTTGTCTAATTTAAAATTATGCAACTAGCATTCCAGTATAAGCAAAAAATGCAAAAATAGGTGTAATCCCTATTTACCCGAAAATTGCGGTTAATTGGGACGAAATGAGAAATTTGCTAGGGTTGGTACTACTTTTATTTTTATATATAGTTTTAATTAATTAATTTATTTAGTTGCACCAACAAAGTGATCATCAATAAAAAAAACTGAAAAACTGACAAAAGTACATGGCAGACATCACCTCAATTATNAGTTGGTTTCTTGTATGTAACCTTTTGGCTTCATTAGATTTAGAAAGCGAATTTTCCTCAGGAGAACGGTTCCTTTTTTGGTTTGGCATTCGTTGCCATGGGATATTTGGATTATGTAAATCAGTCACATTGTTTTCCTGCTCGTTGACTTTTTCTTGTTGTTTGTCATTGTGTTTTTTAATTAGTTCTCTGGCATCACCCAGTGACGCGGATCGTTGGCGATTAAAAAGACCCGGATGAAATAACTGTTGGGTCAAAGTTTTTGTTGGTTTTTCCACAGACAGCACTACTTTGCCCCCCCCAGAATACGCGGGGCAGCCTGAGCTAAGCTCAG